CATGAGCTTTTTGGAGACCCTTGTAAATGTCTTTCTATTACCAAGATTCTCCCTTCCTAGAAGGTAGTTTCTTGTCATAGTTTCAAATTCAAAGTAAGAGACTTATGCTCTGAATCGGAGCAGAGCAAATTTTCAGTCCTTAGACTAGTAACCTAAAGAACTACATGTGGAAACCTGAGTTAACAGGCTCCGTATTTCCAGTTATTCCAATGATATTTGGTGCTCCTTATAAATTAATACCCCAGGCACCTGTTTAAATGCACTATTCATACCAGCCTGGCATTCAGGTGCCTTATACCTGGCCAGGGCCACTTTCTGCTCAATGGGACCAGTGGGTTACCACTATGGAGAGAAAACCTGTTTCTCTCTTTCAGTGCTGCCCCGCCCATTAGAAGAAGGTAGAAAGGTTTCCCTTGCGCAGTTTCTGAAACTACACCACTAGAGGGGACTAAACACCAGGGTGTGAAGGAAGCCTCTAGTCTGAACCAAGATTGGATTCTTACCCTTGTTTCCCTGGCTCCTTGGTGATGCATAGGTTACCTGCTCAGATCCAGGCAAGGACAGAGCCAGTTTTCTGTCACTTTTCCAGGACAATTAAGCCTCCCTTCTTATAACAGATTGAGCCTTTCTGAGGCAGCTGCCCTGTGAATGGGGAAAGCCTGAAGAACTAACCAAGTGAGAAAGAATTGATTCCATCCGCATCAAGAGACCTGAGAAAAATTTGCTGGGCTTGTGACATTAAGGCAGAACAATGCCCATCATGAAACTCATTGGATAGCTTCAAGTTGAGAAAAAGATAAAAACTGAACCACTTGGTCCATGTTCCTTTAGCTTGGAGACTATCTGTGTAGGAGGAAGTAACACAGTGGGGTACAGCCATAAGTTTTCTCAGCTCCTACCCCATGCCAAGTAGGCCACCAGGTTTTTATGTGTACTGTCTCAACCCATCCAAGAAGCCCATTTGGTGGGTTGTTCCAATTTTATAGTAAGAAAATGGACTTAAAAATTATAAGTAACTCAAGGTCTTAGGACAGTTCCAAAGAGGAACCATATTCAACTTACAAGTCTGCACAGCCCATTTCTGTGGAGATTTAGCTGAACATTTAACATCTGAACTTTATCCTCTTGTACCTACTGCAGTGTTTCGAAAACTCTGGTTTTCAGAGCTGGGTGATCTCTTCCAGTCAGCTTTATGCCTAGTGCTTCCTCCTGCTCTACATCTGTCCTAGTTTCTATCTTTAAGACAATGAGCCCCTTCATATAATCTATTTTTCTCCTTTTCTCCTAATGTCATTCTGGAATCACAGAACTTTCCAGTGAGACAGAACCCTTGGATCTTCTGAGAAGGAAAGATGGAGTAGTTTGTTGAAGATCACAACCCTGCTGACCAAAGAGACAGCTCCCCTCTCTGTGCTACCCTCTGTTGAATGCTCCATCTGCTATGCTGGGTTGGCTAGCTCTGAAGAGCACAAATCATCTGCCTCTAACCAAGGCTTAGAGCAAGAACCAAGACTCCCAGCCAAGTCTCCTGCCCAGCTGCAAATCCTGTACATTCTCTAGCAAGTTATATTCATTTAGTTACAAGTTGTATTTCAGTAACAACACCTCACTGTGTACCTACAGGGCTGTGCCCACAGCAATTTGGGCTCTAGACCCCTTTCTCATAAGCAAATTAGGCTGTGAAGGAGACTGCTGCAACAGTTACCGTTACTGAGAACTATTAAACCACCTGCCATGAACTTTATAAGCATCACTAATGCATAAAGCATATTAAGTAGGCTTTAATTCCATTTCACAGATGAAAATCGGTTCAACAGACTAACATACTAGATTATATAGTAGTACATAACAGAGTTAGATTGGGGCCAATATTGTGGTAAAGCCACCACCTGCAACACCAACATCCCATATGGACTCCAGTTTGAGTCCTGGCTGTTCCACTTCTGATCCTGTTCCCTGCTAATGACCTAGGAAAAGCAGTGGAAGATTGCCCAAGCGCTTGGGCCTCTGTCACCACATGAGAGACCCAGATGAAGCTCCTGGCTCCTGGCTTCAGCCTGGCCCAGCCCCAGCCTTCATAGCCATCTGGGGAGTGAATCAGAAGACAGAAGATTTCTCTCTTTGACTCTCCCTCTCTCTAATTTTTTCAAATAAATAAATAATCATTTTTAAAAACATAATAGAGCCAGGTTTCAGAGAGTCTATAACACCAACTCTCTGCTTTTTATATATGAAAGTATTTCAAAAAGTTTGTGGAAAGGGGAGGGAGTATTTGGCGAATAAGTTGCCACTTGGGATGCCCATATCCCATATCAGAGTGCTGCCTGGTTTAGGCCCAGGCTCCTTCACTTCAGATTCAGCTTCATACTAGTGTGCATCCTGGAAGGCAGCAGGTGATGGCTCAAGTTACTTGGACCCCTGCCACCCATGTGGGAGACTCAGATGGAGTTGAAGCCTCCTTAGCTTCATCCTGGACCAGCCCTGGCTGTTTGCAGGCATTTGGGGAATAAAACAGAAAACAGATGATTTCGCTGTCCTTCTGTCTCTGCCTGTCAAATAAAATGAATATTTTTTTGTTCTAGTTAATACTATTGGTTGAACTCTGTAATTAACACACATTTATACTTAGATGTTTAAATTTAACTGAAAAGTGATCCCTGTTAAATATAGGAGTCGGAATAAGAGAGGGAGGAGATGTACAATTTGGGACATCCTCAATCAGACTTGTCCCAAATGGCGGAGTTAGAATCTTGCCAGGGGATCCCAATACAATCCCGTCAAGGTGGCATGTACCAATGCCATCTCACTAGTCCAAGTGATCAATTTCAGTTCACAACTGATCACACTGATAGGTCTAAGAGTCAAAGGGATCACACAAACAAGACTAGTGTCTGCTAATACTAACTGATAGAATCAAAAAGGGAGAGAACGATCCAACATGGGAAGCGGGATACACAGCAGACTCATAGAATGGCAGATGTTCTAAACAGCACTCTGGCCTCAGAATCAACCTTAAGGCATTCGGATCTGGTTGAAGAGCCCATGAGAGTATTTTAGGCATGGAAAGCCAAGACACTCTGGCAAAAAAAAAACCTAAATGAAAGATCTCTGGGAGTAAGATCCCAGTGGAAAGAACAGGCCATCAAAGAAGGAGGTACCTTTCTCTGAAGGGAGGAGAGAACTTGCACTTTGACTATGGCCCTGTCAGAATAAGATCGAAGTCGGCGAACTCAAAAGGCTTCCATAGCCTTGGCAACTCATGACTAGAGCCTAGGGAGATTATTGATGCCATAAACAAGAGTGTCAAATTGTTAAGTCAACAACAGGAGTCACTGTGTACTTACTCCTCATGTGGGATCTGTCCTTAATGTGTTGTCCAATGTGAAGTAATGCTATAACTAGTACTGAAACAGTATTTTACACTTTATGTTCTGTGTGGGTGCAAACTGATGAAATCTTTACTTAATATATACTAAATCGATCTTCTGAATGCAAAGATAATTGAAAATGAATCTTGATGTGAATGGAATGGGAGAGGGAGTGGGAGATGGGAGGGGTGTGGGTGGGAGAGAAGTTATGGGGGGGAAAATTATTGTAATCCATTAACTGTACTTTGGAAATGTATATTTACTAAATAAAAGTCTAAAAAAATAAAATGTGGAAAGTGGAATTAAGATAAGTTTATTTTGGTGCAGAACATTTTGAAGATCACCAAAATGGATTAAAAAATTCAAACTTCAAAATGTTCTTACAAAATATGTGTTTTGAAAAAACCATGGATTTCAAAATGTTTTGCACAAAAATAAACATCTTTTAATTCCATTTTCCCATGAACTTGTTGAAGTACCCTCATCCTGCACATTGCCATGGTCATTTGACCTTAAGGGGTGGGGTTGGGAGCACAGCATGGAATTTTGAAATCTAACCCAGAATTCTGTCCTTTGTAATGTGCAGACACGGAATATTTTGGAAAGACTGATATGCACATACACATGCAGTGTTAAGCACACTGCAATATAAAAATAACTTCATCCAAATGACTAATGTATTTTTAAATTTTGTGGTTATTTTTGCAAGTGCACCGTTTTTATTTCCATGTTTTAAACCACATCAATGAGTGCATTTGCTCCCATTAGAAGAACAGACTGTCATGCTGGATTCCTGACCCTGTGGGGGTTGTTGGGTGAAGACCACAACCTATTGAATAAGAGTTGTTAACATTTCTGTATTTCTTGTTTCAAGCTGCGCATGAGGCCCCCAGGCAGGTTCAGTTTTAGTGAACTGAAGTTCTAGCTGAACTCCTTGAAAGTCTTGATTTATTTTATTGGAAAATGCTGGCAGGCATTTTAGACTTGTGAAATGACTTCCTATCTCAGCTCAGGCTAAATTCCTTCTTCAGCTGCTGATTTAGATGTCGCATCAGGGAGCGAGGAGGAGGTGGGACAAGATGTGCTGTTCTGTTGAATTCATGCTGTGTTACAGACGAGAAGCCGTGCTCCTCAGGCTCCTCCCAGGAGACGGTGCTCTGCCTTCTGGCTGAACACACAACTAAGCGAGGAGAAAAGTCTCATCTGAGCTCTGAAAGCCCTCTGCCTTGTAGCCCTGGCTCTCTTGCCGATTCGCCCTTGCTTCTTCAACAAGCTGGCCCTTTGAGGTGTATGGCATGTCAGGCCCACCACAAGGCACCTGGCTCAGCCCATTCACGCAGTGGATTCCGTGATAATGTTAACCACTCTCAGGGTCCCCTTGCTCCCCTCCACTGAGCTCTATTAATGAAAGAAGATGACTTACCTGGCAGCTTTGCAGGGACTTGGTACAGGCCCTTCAACTGTTTCTTATTTTCTTCTTGACAAATAAGTTGGCCCTTCTCCCCTTTCCTTCTTTCTGGTGCTGGTGGTGAGTAGAGTTCCTGAAGTTCAGCACACAGCATGGAGGATTTTTCTGCAAGGCTAGAAATGAGCCAGATGGCTTAGGTGTTGTCTCAGACAATCAGTGAAAGCCCAAGCCGGGCTGATGACTGCAAGGGCCCGGAGGAAGTGAACAGGGTGAGCTGTGGCTCAGGGAGTTTGACAACATTGTGCACGCTGGAGGCTGCTCACAGAGGGAAGAGAAAAACGTGCTTATAAGTTGTGGGCTTCAGCACCAGCCCTGCTGTTGCCTTGTGTCATTATGCACAGGGTTAGGTCCCCCTAACTGAGCCCAGGAGGCTGATCTTCCCTGGGATGCCTTCCCACTCCAGCATTCTGATCTACATAAGATGCTGAGTGAGTAGGAGGTGTTGATCAGGTTAATACTGAATAATTTTCTTTAGAGCGTGTCATAGACTTCTTTTTTTAGCTTTTGAAATGATTCACTTTTATGACGCATGAACAAAACTTTCACTGAAGATCCTAAAGCTTCAGAGCAAATGAAGGCAAATGGAATTTTCTTTTTTTAAAAAAATATTTTATTTATTTATTTATTTGAGAGGTAGAATTACAGACAGTGAGGGCCGGCACCGTGGCTCACTTGGTTGATCCTCTACCTGTGGCGCCAGCATCCCGTATGGGCACTGGATTCTAGTCCCGGTTGCTCCTCTTCCAGTCCAGCTCTCTGCTGTGGCTCAGGAATGCAGTGGAGGATGGCCCAGGTACTTGGGCCCCTGCACCCACATGGAAGACCAAGAGGAGGCACCTGGATCCTGGCTTTGGATCGGCGCAGCACACGGGCCGTAGTGGCCATTTGGGGGGTGAACCAACGGAAGGAGACCTTTCTTTTTGTCTCTCTCACTGTCTAACTCTGCCTGTCAAATTAAAAAAGAATTACAGACAGTGAGATGAAGAGACAGAGAGAAAGGTCTTCCATCTGCTGGTTCACTCCCCCAAATGGCCGTAAGAGCCAGAGCTGAGCTAATCCGAAGCCAGGAGCCAGGAGCTTCTTCCATATCTCCTATGAGGGTGCAGGGGCCCAAGCATTTGTGCCATCTTCCACCGCTTTCCCAGGCCACAGCAGAGAGCTAGCTCAGAAGAGGAGCAGCCAGGTCTCAAAGCTGTGCCCATACAGGATGCCAGCACTACAGGCAGAGGACTAACCTACTGCACCACAGAGCCAGACCCTGGAATTATTTTCAGGAGACGTTGTACAGGTTCTCCCCATCAGGACAGACTGTAAGACTGTAAGACGAGCCACCTAGAACAGTTCAGAGCATCCCAGCAGGGCCTTGATGATGCTCTCCTTACGGTCCTTAAGGAGAAACATCCCAAGGTTGCACATGTGAACAGGTGACTTATTAGGTGCTTGGCCCACTCTTGGACTTTAATGTCAAATCTTGAAAGCTGAAACTGATACCTTGCCACTGGCCTGGGGCAAACAGATGCCTGCAGTTGGAAGTTCTCAGGATTCAGTTGCATGGGCCTGAGTGTGAAGTCAGCTAATGGGCTCCCTGTTGGAGAGAGATGCCTCTAGCCTTTGCCATCTTCTCCTTGGACAAAGGGTGCTGCCCCACCCAAATGCCAACTCCAAAGGCACACCAACTGCCCCAGCTCACCTGATATGCAGTGGGCCATCCTGGAGCTGTGTGCCATGGTGCCCATCCCAGAGCTGTTCAAGGCCAAACTTAGACTCTGCTGAATCTGGAAGACAGGCACCAAGGGTCCCAAAAGGCACCATCTCCAACCTGGATGAGAAGCCTATTTTCACCTGTATTTCTTTCTTTCTTTCTTTTTTAAGATTTATGTATTCATTGAAAGAGCCACAGAAAGAGAGACAGAGAGACCTTCCACTGCTGATTTACTCCCCAGATGGTGGCAATGGCCAGGGCTAGCATGGGCAGGAGGGGCCCAGGCACTTGGGCCATCTTCCACTGCTTTCCCAGGAACATTAGCAGGGAGCTGGATCAGAAGTGGAGCAGCCAGGACTCAAACCAGTGCCCATATGGGCTACTGACACTGTAGGTGGAAGCTTAGCTTTCTATACCACAGCACTGGCTCCTCGAGTGGCATTTTAACTGCTGTGCCAAATGATCACTCAAGACTTAGTACCTTGAGGGCAAGACCTGGGCAAACATGCGGCCACTTACATGTGACTCACTGAAAATATGACTGCTCCTGCCCTTTTGTGCACTGTGGATCTAACAAAGTAGCAGTGTGAGCTGACCCCAGTGGCTTTCTTTTGGCCAGAATCCAATTTCTGCAGGCAGTGTTGGACTTCCCACATGCATTCCTACAGGCCCACCACAAAGAATGCAAAGCAGTCCTCCATGCCACGCCTTTCCTACCTCCATGCCTTTGTCCAGGCCATTCCCTGAACCAGAGGTGGTCTTTATATAAAAATCTAGCACAACTCACTTCATCAAAACTAACATAAAGTATCTCTTTACCTTCCCCAAATTGGAGTTAGGTGCTTTTATGAAGGGTCATCAAAAATGCAAATTATGAAAAAGCTGTGAAAAGACTTTAAATTCTTTTGCACCAGAATAAGCTTGCAATACTAGTTATATAACGTGCTTGGACAGGATCTAATTTGAAGTACAAGAAGGCCAAGAAGACTGTCCTTATCAGACCAATGTAAATTCTGCTAAAGTTGATGCAAGAACAAGCATTAAATTCATGGGGCCAGTGTTGTGGCATAGTAGGTTAAGCCTCTGCCTGTGGCCTGGCATCTCACGTGGGCACCAGTTGGAGTTCCAGCTGCTCCACTTCCAATCCAGCTCCCTGCTATGGTCTGGGAAAGCAGTAAAAGATGGCCCAGTGCACTTGAACCCACATAGGAGATGCGGAAGAAGCTCCTGGCTCCTAGCTTTAGATTGGCTCAGCTCTGGGCATTGCAGCCATTTCAGGAGTGCACCAGTGGACAGAAGATGTTTCTTTCTGTCTCTCCCTCTCTCTGTGACTCTACTTCTCAAATAAATAAAATAAAAAACCAATAAATTCATGATGAAACTTGAATGGAAGAATCATTGGTCCTTCATGAAAACCTTATAGAGACAATGCCCCAATGAAGTTAGTAGCTTACAAGTAAATAATTCATTTCAAGAAAGAACGAGACAATGTTCAAGATGAAGCGTTAGCAGGAAGACATCCTCCTCAATTTGTAAGGAAAACATTCATCTGGTTTGTACCTAAATTGAAGAGAACTGATGTTTAAGAGCAGAAACAATAGCCAACATCAAACACATCCCAGGTAGTTCAGCTTTCACAACTCTGGGAGAAATGTAAGTGGAGTATGGTTTCTGCTCTATGGTTGTCCAATGTTGCTCCAGATCAGCTGCAGACAGAAGCAGAGCTTCTAAATTTACAAAATTTAAAACAATGGGATAGGCCAGCACCATGACTCACTAGGCTAATCCTCCACCTGCGGCGCCAGCACACCGGGTTCCTGTCCCTGTCAGGGCGCCGGATTCTGTCCCGGTTGCTCCTCTTCCAGTCCAGCTCTCTGTTGTGGCCCAGGAGTGCAGTGGAGGATGGCCCAAGTGCTTGGGCCCTGCACCCCATGGGAGACCAGGAGAAGCACCTGGCTCCTGGCTTCGGATCAGCGCAGTGCAACCGGCCGCAGTGGCCATTGGGGGGTGAACCAACGGAAAAAGGAAGACCTTTCTCTCTGTCTCTCTCACTGTCCACTCTGCCTGTCAAAAAAAAAAAAAAAAATGGGATTAGGACCCTGAAGCATTTCTTTGAAGAATGTTAAAAGATCAAACATGGCCTTAAATGTGCAGTCCTGAAGACAAAGCACAATCAAAGCAATGGCTACCGAGAGGTGGAAAAATAATCCAGTCAAAGCAAAAGTGGACTGGTCAAGAGCAACGCTCATGGCAGCGATTTCTGGGGATGTGCAGCTCCAGGTATTTGTGTGTCGACTTTCATCTGCTCTCACCAGAGTCCTTCTCCAGCATAGCAATGTCCCTACTCATTTCTCTCATCAAGCAAGGGCAATTTTGTGAGAGTTTTGATGGGAAATTACTAGGTATTCACTGATTGTCCTGACTTGATTCCTTCTGACTTCTTTTTGCTTCCTAATTTTAAAAAGGTCCATAAAGAACACTTATTTTGGGGCCGGAGCCATGGTGTAGCAGGTCAACCCCCATTGCCTTCAATGCTGTATCCAATATGGGCGTGGTTCAAGTCCTGGCTTCTCCAGATCTGATCCAGCTCCCAGGTAATGCACCTGTAAAAGCAGCAGAAGATGGCCTAAGTATTTGTGCCTGGAACCCACGTGGAAGACCTGGAAGAAGCTTCTGGTTCCTGGCTTTGGCCTGGCCCAGCCCTAGCTGTGGGAGCCATCTGGGGAGTGAACCAGTGGATGGAGGATCTCTCTCTCCATCTCTTCCTCCCTCTCTGTGGCTCTTTCAAATAAATTAATATATTTTTCAAACCACTTATATTTATCTTCAGTTAATGATTATAACAGACTGTATGGACATGGTTAAATTTCCTAGGCCTCAATTCTTTATGGATAAACTAAATGGCTGGTATCATTTTTTACAAAACTGTCATCAACTTGATGAAGCTTATGTTGAAAAATAATGTTTATAGTTATTATTTTTTCTTTTAATTTCATTTTTCCATAAGCCTGTTAAAGTCTCCTCATATTCCTAACCCCACACCAAGGTAGTGAAGTTATTTATCAATTTCTTCCTCACCAGAGTGATGACCAGAAATCAAATCTTGTTCATATTTTTATCTCCTTCAACAAGTATATCCCATATGGGATACTGGCGCCTCAGGCCAGAGCATTAACCCACTGAACCACAGCGCTGGCCCTGGGAAAAAAAATCTTATACCCATTCTACAGATGAGGAAACTGAGACTTGAATAAGTTCCATGATTTGCCAATGGGCAAACAGCTAATAAGCTAATAAGCCGAGGAATCTGGTATAGAATCCAGATCTGATTTCATAGTTGGGTTTTTAAATACTATGGAAGGGCCAGTACTGTGGCATAGTGGGTAAAGCCACCGCCTGCAATGCCAGCATCTCATATAGGTGCTAGTTCGAGTCCTGGCTGCTCTACTTCCAATCTACCTCTCTGTTATGGCCTGGGAAAGCAGTAGAAGATGCCTCAAGTCCTTGGGCCCCTGCAATCATGTGGAAAACCTAGAAGAAGCTCCTGGCTCCTGGCTTTGGATCAGCTCAGTTATGGCCTTTGTGGACATCTGGGAAGTGAGCCATTGGATGGAAGACCTCTCTCTCTCTCTGCCTCTGTCTCTCTGTAGCTCTGCCTTTCAAATACATAAATGGATCTTTAAAATAATAATAATAATAATAATAAATACTATGGAAAGACTCACCCAAAGCTGCAAACACGATCTTGAACTCTAAGATATTTTACATATTCAAGAAATGCGGAAGTTTGACTACAGAATGTCACCAACCCCAGCTGGACTTCAGCTTTCTCTTCAGTAAAATGGGAATTGAAAAAGATGCCTCTAAGATGTCATGATCCCCTACAAAATACAAATGGGTTCCCTGAGCCATAAGTCAAATCAGTTAAAGCACAAGTGCACTTGTGAGTTGGCTTTGAAAAGCTTATTCATGAGTAGCAATCATGGCTCTAACACACAACAATAGCAGTGAAATATTATCTTATTCTTCCCAAATGAGTATCTAAAATACACTGAGGCATTAAAGTATAACTTGTCTGAACTCACAGAAAGTGTTTATCTGAGTAGTCCAGGAAACTTTCCATCATTCTTGGTAATTCTGTGTTTCTCTGAAATATGGTTTGGCATTGTTTCACCCAAACATGTAGCACCCCTCCCAAGCCCACCCACCCCCACCTCACTGCATCTCAAGAATCTCAATCAGACACATGCATTCTCTGACTTCAGGCTCAGTCTTTGGGTGAAACACCACTGAAAATATCAGTGTAGTTCAGGATGAATTGTAATGAAAATTCCCACCTATACCACTGAATAACATCTGACTGAGTTGTGTGTGTGTGTGTGTGTTTTGTCAAATCTGTGTAATAACTCATTTGATTTGGCTTTCATTTGAAATGATCTGCTTGGTTCCATTCTTCAGAAACATTCAGAACAAGCTGCATTCTCATTATAGTCAGCTACATAGGGTGGACCTTTCAGACCATAAAGGAACATCTGTTCTCCATCTGTGGCGCCTGAAAAATAGGACTTTGAATAGACTTTGTAGAGCACTAAGGCTTTTAAAGGGCATGAAATCCATTTCTGACTAAAATCTCAATAAATATGTCTAACAGAATATTTTCATTGTACATACTGTTTTTCAAAGAGCAACTGAAAGGCCATTGTGGCCATGTGGTTTAATAAGAACACAATCTCTTGATGCAGCCAGACTTGGTCCAGATACTTGCTCTAGCATGTAGTAGCTATGTTATTTTACAAGTTGCTCAACGCTGATCATCTTAAGTTTTCTTGGGGATGCAAAATAGAGCAAACACTAGTACCTATCCCAAGAGATACTGTTTTCAAAGAGACTGACACATACTATAGCACTAAATAAATAACAGCTGTTTCTGTTTTGTTATTACCACTCTTACTACTAGGGACGGAATGACCTGCTTCCTCTGTTGTAGCTGAAAGAACACAGGACCTAGGAATAGGAAGACACAGCTTCGCCTCCACTGCTGCTGCTTGGTAGTTACATGACCCTGGGGAAGTAACCCAATGCTCCCAATTCACCTTTCTTATCAATAAAACAGGGAAAATTAAAAACAGCTAACTCACAGATAACAATCTGGGCTTCAATGAGATGATTTGTGTAAATTTGCTATGCCAGCTGCTAAACTCATCTGTATGAATTATTTTATTGTTGTTAGTGTCCTAGACCAAATGATGTGTCCACTGGCAATTCAGATACTGAAATACTAATCTTGATGTTGTGAAATTAGGAAGTGGGACCTTGGGAGGAAATTAGATGAGTCATGAGGGTGGAGCCCTCATGTTGAAATCAGTGCCCTTATAAGAACAAGTGACTAATAGTGCTCTCTGTCTATCTCTCCTCTGTCTCACTCTGTCTCTGTTATGTGAAGATACAGCAAAAAACCAGCCATCTACAAGCAAGGAATAGAACCCTCACGGAAAACTGAATCTGTCAGCATCTTGATCTTAGACTTCCCAGCCTCAGGAACTTAAGCAACAACTGTCACTTGTTTAAGCCACCCTGTCTATGGTATTTATTATCACAGCACAAACTAAGACCATCAGTAACAACACCAAGACTGAAGAACGTAGGTTTTTATTATTATTATTATTCAGGAATTTTCATTTGCAAACATCTTAGCAATGAGCTTAAGTGATTATAACTGATTCCGATTTAGTCACAGAGGGGAAAGTCTCTGGGTGTAGAAAGTCTGCCTTCCCCAAGGGAATGTCTTGCCTGCTGTCATCACTGTGCTTGTCCTGGAGCCGGCCTCTGTGAGCACTCAGAACCTACCAGGGTCAAGAGCTAGCCTATCTGAAGAGCTGCAAGAGAGAAGGTAGTAAGCCTGCCATTGGTGCTGTTTTGGATGTTGCAAGTGTTAAGCCTTCAGGTTTGGCCTGCCTTCCCTTCCTAGAGCAGTCAACACAACTAGAATCTGGGTGCTCTTGCCTTCCTGGTACCTGTACCCCTTTGTCCTTCCCTTATAGTGAACGTTACTGGGCTTGGGATTTCAAAATCAGCCTTGAATCTTGTCTCTTTAACTTTCCAGTTGTGTTACCTTGGGCAAGTCATACCTTTCTGTAGCTTAATTTTCTCATATATAAATTGAGGAAGAATAATAACCCTCTTCTAGGGTGGTAGGAAAAATTAAGACATTCCATTTAAAAGCTACCACTTGGTAGACACTCATCCAATTTACCTTGCTTCCCCTAACCTGCCTCTTACCCAGTTCTTGCTCCCTACCCCAGATTTTTGACTCCTCTCTGGGACTTTGGTGAAATGATCACTAACAAGAGTCATAGCTATTATGAACCTGTAAGAAGGTGTCCCCAAGGAAACATTAATCAGTGTTCCCAAACTGAAACTGTGGCCTGGGCCTTTACAGATTCTTGGTGCTCCTGGATATCTCAGTGAGAATAGACTCCTGCTGGATATATTTGCTATTTGAATATTGCAGGTGTGGAGGGTTATGTGTGATCTTGTGTATAGACAGAATATCTCTAGTAGATGAACAAAAAACTGGTAGCATTGTATGCATTTTCTCTGTATAGCTTTATGTCTTTTTTTAAAGATACCATTTATTTATTTTAGAGGCAGAGTTACATAGAGAGGGAGAGACAGAGAGAATGGTCATCCATCCGCTGGTTTACTCCCCAAATGGCCACAATGGCTGGAGCTGAGGGTATCCGAAGCCAGAGCCAGGAGCTTCTTCCAAGTCTCCCACTTGAATGCAGAGGCCCAGCACTTGGACCATCTTCTACTGCTTTCCCAAGCCATAAGCAGAGAGCTGGATTGGAAGAAGAGCAGCCGGGACTCAAATCAGTACCCATAGGGGATGCTGGCACTGCAGGTGAAGGCTTAGCCTAGTACATCAGCCCTAATTTTATGCCTTTTCTTGAGTTTTACATCATGTAAATGCATTTCTATTCAAAAATCAATTACTTTTCAAATGCTAGTGATATTGGAGCAAATTCTTTTAAAAGATTTTTATTTCATTTATTTTAAAGGCAGAGAGACAGAGACATCCAATCTGCTGGTTCACTCCCCAAATGACTGCAATAGCCTGTGCTGGGCCAAGTGGAAGCCAGGAGCCAGGAAAACAAGTCTCCTTTCTCACATGGGTGTCAGGGTCCCCGGAACTCAAGCCATCACCGACTGCCTCCCACAGTGAGCAGGAAGCTGGAATCAGAAGCAGAGACAAGACTCAAACCTAGTCATTCCCACATGGTTTGCAGATATCCCAAGCAGAGTCTTAACCACTATGCCAAGAGCCTTTCCCTTTTTTATATTTTGTATAAACAAATGATTATGCTTATAGGGTGCAATGTGATGTTTCAATACATGTAAACATTGTCTAATGATCACATTAGAGTAATTAGCACTTCCAGCAGATCAGACATTGATTAATTTTTGATAAGAACAACAAAAATCCTCTCCTAGCTATTTTGAAACGTGTGATACGTTATTGTTAACTGGGGTAACCTTACTGGCAATAGAACAATAGTTCTTCCTGTCTAACTGTAAATTGTACTCATTGATCAACCTCTCCCTAGTCCCTTAACTCCTTCGCTCCCAACTCTATAGTAATCACTTTTCTATTGGCAACTTCTATGAGACAAACATTTTTAGATTCCATATTAGAATGAGCTCATGTTAGGTTTTTGTCTTCACACAAGAAAAGAATTTCAGACATGAGGCAGAGAGTAACAAGTAAGCATGTTAGCCAAATTTAATGAAAAGAATACACCTGACAGGCCAGGCGGGCATCTCGGTAAAGAACTGAGAGCCACTTGTGCTTTAGACTGGAGTGTTTATAGATGGAGGTATGAACCCACTATTTCTTGCCCTATCTTCTGAGGTATTGCGGCTAGAGGGTTTTCTGGGCATGACGGAATTCTTAAAATTCCTCCCAGCACTTTGTCAGCACAGTGTTATTGGACCAAACAGACTCCTTGGTGCAGGGCAGGGAAGATTCCCCTAAACTGCCCAGGGGAGGGCTGCAATCCTCCTAACAAGTTTATCAAACACAGGCAAGACTTTTGATGCACAAATGCTGTTCTGCTTCCAAGAGCTGTTTCTACATTTTTTTCCTCAAGGAACCACAAAAAAAATCCCTATTTTCTTCTAAAAATCCCCATTTTCTTCAACCTGTCTTACATACACAGGGTAATATCTGCCTTGCTACCTAATAATGTCGTATTTGATTTTCTGTGCCTGGCTTATTTCACCTAACATAATGTCTCTTACACCCATCCTTATTGTCAGAAAGAGGATTTCAACCATTTCAAATTAAGGCAGAATAGTAGTCCATTGTGTTCACATGTTCTTTATCCATTCTGTTGACAGACACCCAGACGGATTTCGTGTCTTAGCTATTGTGATGTACTGCAAAATACGTGGGAGTACAGATGTTCCTTCAGCAGATTGACTGCATTTCCTTTGGCTATATACCCAGAAGTGGGATTGCTAAATCATAGGGTAGCTCTATTTTTATTTTTTTAAGGATGTTAAACAATTTTATGCCAAAAAATTTTGGCAACTCTTGTGAAATGCACATTTCTTCAAAAACAAAAATTCAGAAAACTGACAAGGACAAAACAATTTAATAGCCTTATTTGTATTTATGAAACAATTTTTTTTCGAAATTTCCCTAGAGATAATTAAAGCCCTAGTTTCACTTGTGATTTCTTTTTTTTTTTTTTTAAGATTTATTTATTTATTTATTTGAAAGTCAAGAGTTACACAGAGAGAGGAGAGGCAGAGAGAGAGAAAGAAGTCTTCCATCCACTGGTTCACTCCCCAATTGGCAGCCACAGCCAGAGCTGTG